CGGCGTAGAGTCAAAAGTACAGATCGCGGATCAACGGATCTATTCCTTTATGAACAGGCTTATGAAAAAATCTTAAAAGATCGAAGCAGTAGTAGGTATAAATAATCAGGGTCAATTGTACCAGGGGTCAATTGTACCCTCATACAAAAATAGGTTTTTCAGTTTTGATATTTCTATCATTGTTATTATGCTTATTGTTGTTTCAGAAGCAATATCCGAGCCAAATAGATGGCATATTATGTAGAAACAGTTAGTATTTTCGTTTTCATGGAAGAAAAGTGATTGATTTGTTTTTAAACTTAAGTGTTGATTTTTCATACTTGTTCCTAAATATTATCGATCTCAATTAATAAATACTGATGATTGTAGGATATTAAGAGTACAGAATACCAATAAAGGTGATGATTAGATAAACATAACTACTTTTATTGCCTCATATATTATTGGTACAATTGACCCGTTGTAGGGGTCAATTGTAACATGAGACATCGTACAGTTCAAATTGGTTTTTCATTATGTATTCGAAGGAATAGTTAAACTCTGCATGCTTAAATTTGTAGCTTAAGAGTCTAGTTTTTACAGCATCCTAACAGAATAAGTTATATTTCATTAGATTTCTCAATATTGAACAATTTCCAAAAAATGGTACTATTGTCCCCGGTCTACCCTACATAGTTTTCGTTTCAGCCATTTCTGCACAGAGGCCTCTGCCCCCAAGGATTTTCAAAACTATTTTAACTTTTAGTATTTGATCGCATTCAAGTCTCTTATTTCAAATTATTTTACAGCACAGTTACTCAATGCTATGTGTACTTGTAGCCCAACTATTGGGCATTTATTTTCGAAAAGATACAGGTTATTATGTATTGTTCGTGAAAGACGTAGATCTTTAGCTATTTAAATCTTTAATATACAAATGATTTCTTTAAATTTTTAGCAATTCAAATGGATTTGATTTGCCATTTAATTCCCCATTTAAAATACTAATGATTTTCTAGTATTCTGTCTTCCCTCTTTCAGGCCTTTCAGAATTTTCATATGAGTCCGACTAGCACTTGGCCGGGTTTTTTATCCTCCATAATATCCGCTTACGAGGCCAAGCTCCGCTTCTGACTCCGCTATGGTTTGCACAACTCTAGTATCGGCATTCGATGCTTTGTGTTTTACCCAAAAACAATATCTTATTCCAAAACAGTAGAGTTCTTTTTGCGTGCTCCACTTTTTTTAGGGGAACGCCAGTCCTTGAATCCATAGGTATTTGAACACAATACAAAACGTAATAAAATAAACTGGCCACAATAATTTTTATTGTAAGGAGAGCCCTCGAATTATCATTTAGATGGGGTGGGATGCAATATGGCGTGACTTTCGCGCGAATAGATCGGCGCCTGAGTTACGGGATTTTGCAGGTTCGCCTTTTTTGGAGCTGTTAGCTTTTATTGGGGTAAGGTGTAGTTGGATAAGTGTGATAAATAAAGTAGGGTGCGAGGCGAATCAAACGTGTTGTTGACTTTTTTATCGCAATAAACTTTTGAGGGACTCTCAATTTGGGGATTTTCTCACCTTAGGCAATTCGATTTTTTCAAGTCATTTAAAGCTTTGGGATCGATTCATAGGTGAGCTAAACTTTTCACTTTTTGTAATTGTTCGCAATTTAAAACTTGCAGTTGACTGTCTAAAAATTAAATGTTATGATTACGTGCTGGGGAAGAAGTCCCATTGAATCATGGTAGACACTAGACGCTAAGGGGGCTTATAAAGTTTGTGACCTAGTTTTCAACGCATATGATAGCAAATTGTCTATCAAATCGAATAAATACAGACGGGTGTGCTGGCAGAAATACAATAAGTTCTATTCCGCCAATAATTTATTTTAAAATATTTTCGTACCTACATTACCTTAAGCATTTGTTCTTTATAGTGTCAAGTAGTTTCATATTCATAGCCGGTCCGAGATTTAATACGAATATTAAATTTTAATGTAAACGTCGTCGGCAACGAGTATTAATGACGTGGGCCCCACAAAGACGTAATTCCCTTGAAACGCATTAGACTGAACGAGTGGTGATTTTAAGGGCAGGCCACAGTGACAGAAGGTAGCGGTAGCGATTAGCGGGCCCAAAACAATTTAAGAATCAGATGCTCGTAACGTTAAATAACATAAGTAACGGTAGCACTGAAAAAAATGTACCTATAAACTCGTACCTAGGTATTCTACAGTTCATCTAAACTGTAGAATACCTAGGTACGAGTACATATTAAAATGAATGAATAAGAATACAATTTGAGGCCTCAACACTTTAAAATTAAACTTTTCAACTTTTTTGGTTTAAAGCCTACATACGAGCAAATAAGCAAAAAAAACTCGTATGGCATCCTGAAATGTAAAGCTTTTTATGCAGTACTTTAAGAACTAGCATTAGCATGATTCTAATTTAAAGACAAACAGTGGACAGCACTTATTGCAAAGTCGAACCTAAGATGCACTTAAGCACAGTCCTTTGAACATTCCTTTTTAATCGCTTTTCCTGTTACTTGATGCAGCAGTGTAAAAGTAGTTCTTCGAATATCGCTTCTCTTGCTACTCTACAATAGCCTTTAAAATCATAGGGCGAAGACTCCGCGGTCTGGGGGTGCAAATGGTAACCGACTCGCTGATAAATGATTCCGAACAAATGTCATTTTGATCCTCTGATATTGAGGATTTGTTTGGGGCGTGTGCAATTACGAGTTTGCCTTGCTCGCTTTTATTACTGCTTGTTTATTGGCAAATTGTTGTCGTTCTGTACGAGTAGATTGTCACAAGGGCGTCAGTGTTTACCTAGTTGTATTGGGTGTTTGTTTGTGGTATTATTGCAGTAGAACATACAGGGAGGCTAGGGAGTTGACGTTCAAAGCTAAAATTTAGATTCCTTACATCAAGGTGTATCTAAATCACCCCCATGTATGTTCTACGATTTTGCTTTGTTTAGGAGATAGTTAATTTGGTGATTTATCCTTAACTAATTTTCTAATTTTTTTTGTTTCTAAGTTGGTTTCTAATTTTTTTTTCACTTTGGAAGCTTCTCTAGCGCAAGTAAGTAAAAACAAACTACAAGTGCTCGCCAGAGTGAGAAAAAATTAAAAACCAACCATAGCTTTAGGATAAATCACAAAATTAACTCATCTCCTAAACTAAGCAAAATAGTAGAACATTGTACATGGGGGTGATTTAGATACACCTCGATGTATGTAATCTAAATTTTAGCTTTGAACGTCAACTCCCTGACTTGCCATACAGAAGAAGAAACGGCCATGCATGTTCTTTGCTCATGCTTCCCGCTTATGAGCAAAAGAAGTATCCATCTCGGGCGACACATCATGCACCCGGATGAGATAGCAGATATCACGCTCCAAAGAATCTGGAAATTTATAGACTCAACGGGACTAAGCAGTGAACTCTAAAGACAAGGGCTGCCACAATAGATCAAACCTTGAAAATGGTCATGCATTGCTCTATTGGGATCGGTCTATCATCACAGACAGGACTATTGTCTGTAATAAACCTGATATTGTGGTGGTTGATCGATCCCAACGTCGGGCAGTGCTCGTTGACATCACCATCCCGCATGACGAAAACCTCGTGAAGGCCGAAAAGGAAAAACAAAGCAAATACCTTGACTTGGCCCACGAGGTGACCGCCATGTGGGATGTTGACTCGACGATCATTGTCCCGATAGTTGTCTCGGCAAACGGGCTAATAGCGAAGAGCTTCGACCAACATCTAAAGAAGCTCTCGCTAGATGGTTGGCTCAAGGGTCAGATTCAAAAGGCGGTGATCCTCAGCACGGCACGCATTGTCCGGAGGTTCCTCAGCCTGTGACCCTGACCACCGGTAGCCTGGGCCCTGCTCCGCTGCCAGCGGGTTAACTATTTTTAAGATTTTTGTTTTTATAATGTATTTTTATTTTTTGATAATAATTACATTGTAAAAAGAAAAAATTAAAAATAAGAAAGTAAGATGAATAAAGGAATAATAATAACTCCCTGACCACCCTATATTATAGCGCTTAACTGAGTCAATGCCTGGGGTATGGGAGCGGCACGAGAGGGATGACATTGACATATACATAAATGACGTCATAGAGTACAAGTCTGAAGGAGATCTGAAATCTTGCTGACGTTTGCTGACGTGCCGCCCCCATACCTCATGCACTAAGTCTAGCACTAGATCTATAGCAGTATTGTGCGGTATTTCGTTGATGTTTATGTAAAAAAAAACAAGAAATGTTGTATAATGTGACAGACATTTATTAAGTTAACAAAAATAAATGCCAACTTAAATTACTTACGCGATTAAAAATACATAATTAAATCAAAAGGCATACATTTCAAACTACTAGCTAGAAAGGAAATAAATAATTTTATATAAAGTATTTACTTTCCACATATTGAGCAAACTCAATTATAAAAACCGGAAAATTACTTGTTATGAAATTAACTTACGTTGCGGGTGTCACTGCGCATATCCAATTAGTAATGATTTATACGGCTGAACGACATTCAAGAATATAAAATTAAATCAAAAAAAATTAAAACTAGTTCAGAGCATAGGTAAAGGTGACAAAAATGATTTTTTTGAGTTGTCTAAAACCGCAAATTAATTATTATTTGTTAGGTATACAATAGGCTAGTTTCCTAAAAAAAATTTTTAATCCGTCAATTTTAATATAAAAAAAATTGAACTCTTATACTTTTAATTGTCAATCAAACAAATAATTACAAAGTTATAGTGCGTTGAAGTTCCGTGCGACGTCACAAAGTGCTGCACTTTTACGCACTCACTGACGTCACGTGCCTTTTCTTTAGAACTTTGGCACGCTTTATCTCTTTACATTTTCATTAGATTTAAAAAGTGAAAAATACGTGTCGAGTAGTTTTTGATAAGCTAACTGACGGACTAATTAAAACTCTTGCTTTTTTACCCAGGAAACATCCCTATTCTAAACTTCTAGGGTAAAATAGGTACCTTTTAGGTCTATCAAAGTGCAGCACTTATAAGCTGTGTCTTAGGCCTTACTGACTTTTCTAAAACTTGTTGATTCAGATTTTTTATATTCCGGTAGTATTATGATTGATCATCAGTAGTGGGTGCCAGTGTCGTGTCTGTAGAGCCTTCGGAAGGCTCCTCGGAGCTCTTACCCTGAAAATAAACAGATATAATAATAATAAGGTAGGCCTAGGTGGACCGACGATCTGGCAAAGGTCGCGGGAAGAACCTGGATGCGGGCAGCGCAGGACCGTTCATTGTGGAAAACCTTGGGGGAGGCCTTTGTCCAGCAGTGGACGTCATTTGGCTGAAACGAACGAACGAATAAATGATGTGTAAAAATTGCGATTGCGGTCAAATACATGCCTTGTCCTATAAAAAACAGATATACAGTTAAGCTCCGTTTTCCACTAAGGCGGAACGGAACGGGGAAATATTTCAATAACCAATCAGATGTCATTCAGGTTGAATAAAATTGGTTATTCAAAACATTTCTCCGCTCCGCCTTGGTGTAAATCGGGCCTAATACTGCGATATGACTAGATCAAGACTCGTAGCTTAAGTTATCAAAAAGCCCACCAATATTATTGATTCATACTTGATAAGAAAATGAGCACGCTCAAGCCAAAAGTCTCAATTCAGAAACTGTGCATAAAGGCAATATCATTATGTATAACGAGTAAGGCTCGGCGTAAATGGGCCACCGACCACAGCCACTGGTGGCACACGTATATCCGGTGGCGGCCAGCCACTCGCTACTGTAGTGTCCGCGACTCGCCCCAGTCGCCCCTAATGGTCACTACGTGCCACACAAACACAAAACGCCGACAACCGCCACTGTTTGCACTGCTCCCCCCCACGTATCATCGCACGCGTACCATCATGGAGCACTCATCTCAATGGATGTTGATACATTCATATATCGGAAATCCATTCACGTCCCGCTATTTGGGATTTGTGCCTACAGCAACAGAAATAGGGTTACAAATGTGGCGCCTTCCAGACACCGGTGACTGTCGTTCGCTTCTGACACTTAGAAATGGGGCGCGCGACAGCCACCGGTGGCTGTGGTCGGTGACCCATTTGCGCCGTGCCTAAAATTACCTACTTTACTTTACCAATTGACCTTGAAATAAGATAGTACATTCCTAGACTCACCCAAGAATGGGATATCCAAGCCAGAGTGGTGTTTTTAAGGCGGGGCCCCAATAATGGATTCATTTGGGACACATACACCGTGAACCAACTGTGAAATAAGAAATTATACAATAAAATATTGTAACTTGATGGAATTAATTACTCAATGTTTGTAGATAAACATAAAAAAAATCTATTAAAGAGTTGCTGAATGTAGTCAAAATTTAATACGACTTACAGCATCCATAAAGAGAAAGTTGACATCCATATACAACACCTTATTATCCTGTGAAAAGAGAAGAATAACAATTAAATTAATGAGACAAACCTAACGAATTTCACCTGTCAAAGTGAGCTTCACCCAGAATCCTCAACCACAGACGAACTGGCTATCTTACCTCAAACTGCCGTAACTCAACAGTGTTGTTAGGTAGATGGTGGTAGCTAGCCAGGAAGACTATGATCAAGCCCTACCACCAATCAATCCGAAAATTTTAACCCCACTAGGATCCCGGGACCCAGTGGCGCAACTACAGGGTGGCAGGGCTGGTAAAATGCCACGGGCCCCCGAGCTGAGGGGACCCGGGCCCAAGAAAAAAATATTTTTTTTACAAAATTTGATTAAAGTGAAATGCACACACTATATTTTTGGGTTACCAATTCGAAGATGATAGTTGATAGTGCTCATTCCTCATTCATCGCACTCCCCCTCCCCCCCGTACCATGGCATGTCAGGGGCCCCCATCAATGAATTTGCCAAGGGCCTTGTGGTAGTTACGCCACTGCCGGGACCTCTAGATCTGAAGCAGGTGGTACATTAGACCAGTGGTAACGTTGTCATTTGTACTGCAAAAAAACTAACCCACGATTAGGTCCTTTGCGAACGAATAAAGGAGCAAGAATGAACACTGCCCCATAGATGCCGGTCATGACATATATCGGCAGATACATCCCAGGGTCTTTCGGCACGATGGTGGGGCCCGCCGTGGTGGTGGTCGCAGCAGTCGTGGTAGTCTCGGTTTCTTCTAAATTCATTTTTAACAATTACAATAGGCACTATTAGTACTTCTTTTATTTTGCTAGCTTTTTGTTAGCAGTAAATAAAGTAAATAAACAGATTATATGTTAGAATTCCTAAATGTCATTTACGATTGACGTTAACTTGACGTGTTGAACTGACAGAATATGTTTTTAATTATTTGTCTATAGTATAAACTTCTTATAACCTCCATAGGGTTCCGTGGAGATTCGACATTCGTATAAAAATACACTGTGAGTCTTGATAAAGTGCACAATGAAAATTAATAACATTTTTTATTATATGTTGCCATTTTCTGGATATTTTATGTATTTTATTAGTATCTCTGTTTTATTTTATCAGGATATACGTCATAGTTTAAAAGTTATTACGTTTTCTTTACAAAAAGTAATTGAAAGAAAAAAAAATCTTTAAAAAATTGACAGATAATTTATGACATTTTTTTCTTCATGAAAAATAGGTCTAGTTTCACCTATTTTCATCTGTGCATTTTATCAAAACTCACACTGTATAAATAAAATACATTTTTCGAAAACAAAGCGGCTCAATCTTTTTGATTTAGTTAAACATTTTTGATCAGATTATCTTTCCATATCTTCACTCCACCATAACTAGGCCGTTGGACAAATTAGGACATAAAATGTTGAACATGACCATAACGAGTTCTCATAGTAACCGTGTATTTCCATTGTACAGTGCACCTAAAAGTTTTAAGATCTTGTTCTGTATGTCTTGGCATTTAAGGACTATTTTAAGACAGCAGTTTTGCTAGACGGTTGTACTGGACCGATCGGATCCTATCTCGATCCGATAGAGAAGAGTTGCGCGTGCGCGTATAATGACTCAATTATCCGCTTAGGGGGGGCGTTCCTTGGAACAGTATGTCTTCATTACATGGGCACTGTTTGAAAGTATTGAGCTAGATGTTTTGGTCCATTATGTTTTTAAATGTTTCACATCATCATTATTGACTGGGATATTTGTCAGAAGAATACAACTCGTTCCAGGGGCTTAAAAAGCTTTATCTATTGCAAGAAAGGATTTTTTTTCCTGGCGGCTTGGTGACTGGAATTGAACCGCCNACACTTTCTTCTTCAGGGTATGCTTATTCTAATGAATACATTCTATCTTCTTACTTAGAAATAAATTTGTTGTATTATTGATTCAAAGTTGTGCCTTCGCGAGTTACCTGGAAATCGGGCTTTCGAAATTCGCTGTTTTCGTAGGCAAAAATCCAATTTGAACGAGATTTTGTCAATAGACATTCCGTAAAAACGTATGATAATTACGATGATATAAGTCAAAAGAAGCTATAACAATAAATTATATGACTAAAATCATTTTGAAATCTGCCAAATTCTCGATTTCTGCATGAAAAATGTGACAACGCTCTTAAGGAACGGCTGGGACGAACAAGGATAGGCGCATCAAGCTCGTAAGCCTTGATAGGGTTACACTGGTTGAGGTGGCCTTTTTCAAGAATTGGAAGCCTGTNATGAAAACAATTTCCAGAACACTGAAAATATTCTATTTGAAAAATAGAATAATCAATATAAAAACACTAGGAAATGTTTCATCAAAATATATTTCAATTAACTGAGCAAAAAGCGCCATCTATTGCAAATTAATTCTAAATCACGCCAATAGATGTCGCTAGTGGTATCCAAAATCAGAATATTGAGAAGAAATATTAATTTGTGAAAAAACAGCAAACGGCAACGTTACACTATCCTTTCACTCTGAGAGATTTTTTCATGAGCACGGACTGTGTAATTATTTTGCTCGTAGTTGTAAAAGATACGATATTGGAATATTAATTAACTAGCTTTTGCCCGCGGCTTCACCCGCGTGAAATTTAGTTGGTCACATATCGTCATAAATTATACAGTAACGTTTCATCAAAATCCGTTCTGCAGTTTTTGCGTGAAAGAGTAACAAACATCCAGACATCCAGATATCTAGACATCCAAACTTTCGCATTTATAATATTAGTAGGATACACATGTCTCGTTATACGGTACATTGTCTTGCTATAAGCTATAAGTAAAATACGTTGGGGTGTAGTCGACCCACACAGTATCATTTCAAGTTGCATATTACACACACCGGCAGATTTAGAGGAACGGAAAAAAAAGCATCAATATCATCATTATTTTAGGAAAAAAATGCCTAATTATGACATTATTTTTTAATTTAATTCTAAATATGAAAAAAATAATTGCCAACAGTATATTTTTTTAATTATTTTGTTTAAATTACCCCATCAACAGTTTCGTTGAGTGTTTTGAATTGAATGAAGCTTTTGCTAATTTGGATTTCTTTTACGTGAAAGATGTTTTTTTCTGAGAATTTTGTTGTGTAAGCATTCAGTTACTTATAAGGGTTTATTATGCCCAGCTTAGCACCGTCAGAAATCATTAAGGCAGATGAAATGAGAAGTAACGGCCATGCATACAAATCGGCTGCCGTAAGACGTCGTTGATCAGTATCGACCACCCATGGCAGTAACCAACGGTACAGATTGATCATTTCTGTCGTTAGGAGGAGGGTTCAAGTCAGAAAAAGGCGTACTTCGCGACGGGATGACCGTTTTTTACAACTTCGAGTTTTCAGAAAGTCGCGGTTACCTGCTGTTCAAGCCAGAAATAACCTTAAAGACACTCGAGGAGTAAGAGTGACTGAGCCCACAGTTCACAGGAGATTTACTGAAGTTGGTATAGGGTCGTGCATACCCGAGAAAGCTCCAACTTGTGACACAGCACCGAAAAAACATATTGAACTTTTCACGTGAATATCGTGATTGGGTCTTGAACGACTGGAGGCATGATCTCTTCACTTATGAGTGCAGAGTTCTCTTAAACCAGATCGATGGAAGATAGCGAATATGGAGACACAAAGAGAACGTAACATTTAGTCTTAATTTTGAAAATATCGTGGTTTATGGAGGTAGCTTAATTCTGGTGTGGGGAAGGATTTTTTTGGGAGCTCGCACGGAGTTAGTGGTGGGTGATGGAGGAAATACGACTTCTGAATGGTACACTAGGAACATTTTAGAAGAACATGATGTGCCATTTACTCCATTTATTGTGGACTCCTTTAGTTTAATTCACGATAATGTTCGTTTTCACAGTGCTCGCTCAGTACAGGCACATCTAAACCATTTGGATATACCCATGATGCAGTGGCTGGCAAGATCCCTAGACAAGAATCCTATAGAGCATGTCTTGGACTTTCTTAAAAGATGTGTTAAACTCAGAATACCACCGGTGGTGTTGAGAAACGCGTTACTAGAGGAATGGCAGACATTGCCCCAAAATACCCTTCATATCATTAACTGCAGCATGCTCAGATGAATGGAAACCATCATCAGAGCAAGAGGGGGAAATACCCATCATTAATTCATTCATTTGGATAGTGATAAGCTACCCTAATTTTTAATCTGGCCACAATTTCTAATTTTTGTTCAAAACTGAAAAATTGAAATTTCGTTTCGATGATTTTTTATTAAATAAAAACGACTAAATATTTAAAAAATATATGTTATTTTATTTTATTTTAATTATCTCTTTATTTTGTATAATAAATATTTCATAGATCAGTAGTAATTTTCCTTATTTTCATACTTTTTTTTGCGTTCCGCTAAATCTGCCGGTGTGTGTATTTTACTTTTGAAGTAATATTTTAATGACGTGCAATGAAGAGCACCATGTATCTAGTTGCCACTTTGCAGCATATTTTATAGCGTGATGAAACTATAATAAAGATGATATTAAAAATATAAGTATATCTACACGAGTGAATTAAAACAATGAAAAAGGCGACTCCATACTTGCTTACCTCTAAGAACAGCATCATAGGATGTTATCTATTGGTACTGGGAAATACAGCAAAGAATTTATTGGTAATATCGATGGGCGCTCTGATGGGTACTTACGAGGTACTTCAGTCTCAAAACCGCGGTAAAGCCTTATCGCAACATCAGAATTGACCTCCGAGGTCATGAATTGATTCTTAAGTTTCTATTTTAGTACCCGCCGTGGTCTTTCTAGGGTCTTCCGTGATGCCTCTAGGCTGTCCTGAGATTTTGAATTGCTCTATCGTTGCGAATAAATGTCGCGTGATAAAATCTGGTTCGCAAAACGACATTTGTATGCATTTGTATGGGTATGATTTAACTTTGATGCTATTTAACAGATGCTTTTCGACCCAGGCAAACTTGGCGGCGCACTGTAGCGGTTAAGGCGAAGAAGATCGGCAAGACCTGGAGCGAGATCAAGCGAGAAGCTCAAGACCGAACGAGATGGAGGACTGTTGTGGACGCCCTCTGCCCCATCTAGGGGACATAGGACCATAAGTCAAGTAAGTCAACAGATGCTTTTAGCACCAGGAAAGAAAATGTAATGTAATGTAGTAATATGCTTATCATCATTATCAGCCTATAGTATGCTTCATACTACTGGCCATGGGTCTCCCTCCTCCAATAACCGGAATTTTAACCTGTCTTCGGCTTGTCTTATCCTAAGGAATTGCATTTTCAGGAATAAACCTCACTTTCTAAGACATTGCTCATAATACGAGTATGTTACATTAAGAAAAAAATATAACCTGATCACTGGATGGATCTATCCAGCGACCTATTTTTCCAATTCTGCATAACTTCCACTCATTCTAAATGCAAACTTCCCCGAATCACTTATGGGTCGGCAGGGCGTGCGTCCTACGTGACCTGTCGTTAGATCCGACAGCTGGGTTTTGACAGCTGTCATCGTGACAGGCCGGGTCAAGCGGCGCCCCGAGCTCAATTTCCGGGGCGCGCGCGCTTGACACGATTTGAATTCAGATTTTGAGGAACCCTCCGAAAGAAACGGTTGGTATCAATCATTTTGCCTGCATTTGCTTGACGGGTCGTTAGAGTGCTTCATTATTGTCGACTTGGTGGTGCAGTGGTGGTATTTTTGCTTATCGCAATAGTCTCGGGTTCGATTAAAACAAAACAATCACCAAAACATCAGGTATACCTTTATTTTGTCACTATTTTTGGAATTTTCCGAAGCATTGTCCACTGAAAAATAGTTTATTTGGTGTACAGAACAGCTTTTTAGG